CAGCAGGGGCGGGAGCATGTGGGAGTCGGGGAGTGGAAGAGGGTGACAGAGAAGCTTGCTGGTCCCAAGCCGTAGCGCTTGGGGTGGGGGTGGGGGATGCAGTTTTGTCCCTCAGGGGACATTTGTCAATGTTTGGAGACATTTGACTGTCACGGCTTGTTGGTGGGATTGCTCCTGTCCTCTCGTGGGTGGCAAACAGGGATGCTGCCGAACATCCTCCAAGGCACAGGATGACGTACCTGCTCTTGAGTGGTGGTGGTGCGGAGGTAAAGAGCCCTGATCTGCACTGTGAATGGGGGCGGGAGGGACGGGCCTGAGGAAGGGCCTCCAGGCTCCCTGCAGCAGCAGGTGACCGCACTTGAGGCTGCTCTGCGTTGACCACCTCTCCCCGGGACAGAGCTCTGGCCTGCCCTGGCCGGCTCGTGGGCGTTCTTTTCCGGCCCACTCCCTAGGTAGGTAACTGGGACTCGGCAAAGGCAGTTCTGAACCAGGAAGGACAGGCGTCCCGCAGGAAAGCCGAGCAGTGGCTGTGCCTTCGTCACAGTCTCATCCACGTAACCAAGCCCTGTTGGCAGACACACGTGGGCCCGGGAGTTTCTGTGCGCTCCTTTCCACGGCAGGGCCAGGATAGGAGGACTCTGGTTCTTTAGAGAGGAACGCTGAAGCAGCTGGGTGTGGAGGAGCCATTCCATCCTGCGGGGCCTGCCCTGTGCTGCCAGCCTCTGTGGGAGCTGGGTTTGCACGGCTCGGGGCGGGGAGGGGTGGGGCTCAGTCGTGCGCACGCCTGCCTGGTTGAGGTGTGCAGATGTCAGGTAAGGTGGGGCCGGGAGCAGAGCAGAGGTCTGTCGGCTGGAGAACCCGTGTTTTACCTTGGTGACTGTGCATTGTTGTCACTGGCGAGGGCCTGGGGCGCAGGGTGGGAGGCACAGAGCCGTGGGCCGGAGGGCTGTGGTCACCTGCCAGGCAGGGCTTTGGGGGCACGGAAGCCCTGATTTCCAGTGAATGTGCTCTTGGCTCCTCTGTTTCCTCTTCTGCAGAAGTGTCCCTCCCAGCTTTAATGTGGGGGCACGTAGTGTTCCCCCCCCCCGTTCTGGTCCCCTTGTCCTTTCCTGCCACAGCAGCCACCTCCATCCGTACGGTCCCTGGGGTCACTGAGCCCGTTCGTTCCTCGGGGCATCACTCCCTGACCATCATGCTTGGGCTGTGGGCTTGCCTCCGCCTGACCCTGCTCTACCCAGCAGCCTCCTCAGTCCAGTGGGCATTTTCACACAGTGTCCCTTGCTGTGTTGTCACCCGCCTCCCTCTGGCTGCTTGTCAGTGCCCTCCATTCAGCCTCATAGACGTGGTGTTCTCTCGACGGCGGCCCATGACTGCTCCTTTTCACTAGACGCCAGGGCCTCCTGACCACTTTCACCCCCAAAATAGTGTGTGGCTAGGGAGGCTCTGCATCATCCTGGAGAGAGGCCTGCAAATACCTAAAGAGGGCTGTGTGCCCCGGAAAGGCTGGCCCAGGGAGCTGCACCTTCCCACTGGGCACCTCTGCAGGTAATGCTTGGATCCCTTCAGCCGAGAGCTCCAGCTGCCTCCTAGGCCCGCCGCACCAGGTGACTGGACAGCTTCTTGCCTCCCCGCCCGTCCTGTGTGCCCCCATGCACCCAGTAACGGGCTAGATCCTTGGAAGTGGTTCTAGACTCCGGAGAGCGCTCCTTTCCAGCGCTCACTACCTTCGGCGAAGGCCTTGTCTCCCTGGTGTTTATGGCAGCCTTCTAGTACCTGGTGCCCTTGCACCCCTCCCCGCCATGGGCAGCAGGTTTAACCCCCTCTCGCTGCTTACAAGCCCTAGCAGGTCCCGTTCGAATAGTGACCTGGACTTCTTAGTGGGTGCCTCGAATGAATCGCTTTTGGAAAGAAATGAAGTAGAAATGAAGGAGTGTTGCAGAATAGAGGGGAGCTAGGTTAAGATGAGGGGACCCCCTGCTCAGAGATGGGGGCAGGAGCTCTGGGCCCGGTGAGGGAAATCTCCCTCGGAGAGGGAAATAAAAAGTGGTGTGGATTATGTAAACACAGACTTGGGACTCCTTGTTACCCTGGAGCCCAGGCTTTATAAATAGCAGGAGTGAATAATCCTGTGCCTCTTTGCAGGCGTCACCCTGCCTGGCCCAGGCCTGGCCCGAGTCTGCAGGGTTGGGAGGCTGCCACTTGGAGCAGAGATCCCTTCTTGTTTTCCTCTCTGCTGAAACCTTGACCCCTCTGTGGGCGGCACTGCCACTATCCTTCCCCCAGGCCTCCTCCCTCGCGCTAGCACCTGGCCTCATGCCGCCCCACAGCCACTGGCGCCTGGAAAGGCCCTCCCTCCCCTGCCTTTCTGGAACCCAGGTGCTAGCCAGGTCCTTCCCTCCGGCATGGCTTCTTTGCCTGGCCTTCTGCCCCGCTCACCTTCTCTGGCCAACCCTCGCCCGTGCTGCCTGGCAGACAGGGATTGATGCCCTTATGTCGGCACCAGAATAAAGAGCTAGTGTGCAGCAGGCGCTGGGGCTGAGGGCAGGCGGTGGCGGCCTCGGGACTGCCCGTGCTGCCACCTCCTCTGGGGGCCTTCGCTGGCCCTTCCTTCCCTTGACCTCAGTCTCCCCATCTTGGGCGGAGAGCTGAGCCTCCAGGCCCCACGACCACAAGCAGAGGTTACAAGTTGGCCCACGCAATCTGGAAACCATTTTGAATTCATTGCTCATGTTAAAAGAAAGCACTGAGCCGAGGGCATTTTTGAGAGAACGAAGTGAGGCCCAGCATGCTGTCTTCTGTGTCTGCTTGTGGAAGGAAACAGAAGAGGTGGTTCATGGTGGTGACCTGTTAGTTACTCAGGAGTTAATTGAAATGGTTAAAAAGAAACACCTCAGAATTAATGAGAGATCATGAGCGGGTGCCAAAAAAGGAAAATGAAGAGATTTTGCCTCCGGGTGCTGATACGGAAAATGGGAAGGATCAGTCCCATGGCACCCGAATTCCATTCAGTACAGCGTAACTGCTGGAGCCTGTCAGGGGTTCCTTTAGGTGGGGGCCGGAGCCTGGTCCCCCTCCCTCAGGAGGGCTCTGTGTCCTCAGGTCTGGCCGGGCTGGCCCGGTGGGAGAGGCTGGGAGACACCTCGTGCTGTCATCTGCTGCGGGCTCAGGCGGGGCTCAGGAGAGGCCCGCTTACTGGGTGATTTTCTCTCCGTAGGAGCCCACTGGCCCGCGAGCAGGGGTGTCGGAAACGGGCCTCCGGCGCCGGCCCAGGCAGAGGGCATGGTGCCTTTTTCGGGGCGAGCCGTCAGCCGACCCCCAGTGGTGCCCGCATCCCCGAGCCAGAACCGCCAGGGCCCCGGCCTCCCGGACGGACTTCATCCGATGGAGCCCCAGGGTGAGAAGCCGGCAGAGGCAGACGGGGTGCGTGTCACGCCCCAGTTGCTCAAGTCGCGCTCGGGTGAGTTCGCCCTGGAGTCCATCCTGCTGCTGAAGCTCCGGGGCCTGGGGCTGGTGGACCTGGGCTGCCTGGGGGAGTGCCTGGGGCTCGAGTGGCTGGACCTGTCGGGCAACGCGCTCACCCAGCTGGGCCCGCTGGCCTGCTTGCGCCAGCTGGCGGTGCTCAACGTGGCCGACAACCGGCTGACGGGGCTGGAGCCGCTGGGCGCCTGCGAGAGCCTGCAGAGTCTCAACGCCGCGGGCAACCTGCTGGCCACCCCTGGCCAGCTGCAGTGTCTGGCCGGCCTGCCCGGCCTCGAGTACCTGCGGCTCCGGGACCCCTTGGCCCGGCTCAGCAACCCGCTGTGCGCCAGCCCCTCCTACTGGGCGGCCGTCCGAGAGCTGCTCCCCGGCCTGAAGGTCATCGACGGCGAGCGCGTGAGCGGGCGGGGCAGTGAGTTCTACCAGCTGTGCCGCGACCTGGACAGCTCCCTGCGCCCCGGCTCCAGCCCCGGCCCCGGAGCCGCGGAGGCCCAGCCCTGGGTAGAGCCGGGCTACTGGGAGTCGTGGCCCACCCGGAGCAGCTCCATCCTGGAGGAGGCCTGCCGGCAGTTCGAGCACGCCCTGCAGGAGTGCCACGACCTGGACCGCCAGGCCAACGACAGCCTGGCCCAGGCTGAGCGAGCGCTCAGCCCTGCCGGCACCACCTCGTCCTTTGTGTTTTGAGTATGCCCGTGGCCTGTGACGGCCGGGCACACTGTGGCCTGGCTGCCCGCATCTGCTGCCGGGCTTTGGTGCGTGTCTTCGGTTTCATCATGCTGGCCACGGGGCCTGCAGACCCGGCTCTGTTTTCTCCGTGTTGCTAAGAGCAGTGCGCCCCCCCTTACCCCCGCCGCTCCTTCGGGAAAATTCCACATCTCCCTGCACATGGTTCAAGGACATGCCTCCCCAGTGGCCTCTAGCAGGGGTAAAGGCCCTGCTCAAGCAGCAGGCAAAGCGTGAGGCCGGCCCGCCACCTCCGCTGTGAGCCTGGGAGGGAGGCCCTGTGTGCAGCCAAGTCCCCAGCCCCCGCCCCGCCCCCCCCCCCCCCCCCCCCCCAGCCGCCCCAGCCGCTGGGTCCAAGGCTCAGGGGGAAGAGAGTTGCTTCTTCCTAAGGCTAGAGGTGAGAAAGGCAGGGATGGGGTGGGCGCTGGCCCAGCGGTCCTGGGAGAAGAGGGGGTGGAGCCCGGAAGCTGGTGTTCGCCCACCTTCCAAAGTTGCCTGTCCCAGTAACCCTCTGCCCTGGTGGCCTCGTCCTGTGTCACCCTGGAGCCCTCGCTGCCCATTCTCACGCATGCTGATCCCTATTAAATCTTTCTGTTCTAATAAGCATCATTGCCTATCATTTTCCGTGGGTGAGCTTTGTTTTCCCAAGCATGAGCGCCTGAAGGCAAGACGAGGTCTCCGCGGGGCCTGGTCTCCTGCTTCCTGGGCGGTGGGCAGGAAGTCTCCCGCGCCTCCTGCAAGACTGCACTCCTGCAGCGGGGCTGAGGAGAGGGGGGCACGCAAGAGGGGGAGAGAGCGAGTCTGGGAGAGCGGTTTATTAGCTCGGGGATAATGGGATTGTCCTCCCTGGGCTCAGGGACGGCGGGTCGGTCTGTCACTGGTTACCTCCTGCAGCTGTCCGGGAAGCGGGACAAAATTCTGGAGGAAAGGAAAAAGAAACCTAAGATTTGGGTGTGAGGGAGGCTGTTTGGGTCGGTCCGGACTCTTTTCCCAGGCTCTGAATCCTTCCCCCGCTGCCGCCCTCAGCCCCACACTGGCCCAGCTTCCCTCCCCAGACGCGCCAGCGCCGTCCCAGCTCCGTCCCCTGCCCCTTGTCGGGGTGCCTACCGTCAGGCCTCAGCTGGGGGGCAGGGCCTTGAAGAAGGCAAACTGTCCTGGGAAGTAGTAGCTGTGGGGGTCCTCGCCGGCGCGCGCCACCCTGTCACACTGAGTCTCCTCCTGCTCCTCAGCCTCCTGCCAGAGGCAGCGGCTGCTCAGGCCCAGGGGCCAGCAGGGCCCGGGGAGGGTGTCCCCCGGGAGGGTGTCCCCGGGGAGGGTGCCTGCATCCTCTTTGGCACGCACCTCCACACCCCTTAGGGAATAGCGGGGCCGGGCCCAGAAGCCGTCCTCACCCCTCCTCGGCCCTCCTCACCCCTCCTCACCCCTCCTCACCCCTCACCACCCCTCACCTCCTCCTCTTTCCTCCCCTCTTTTCTCATACCCCCTTGCCCCTCCTCAGCCTCTGCACACCTCAGTCCATGCTCCACCTCTGACCTCTCCTCCAGGCCCAGCTTCTCCACCTTCCCAGCCTCTCCCCCAGCCTCCCCGCCTCCTCCTGTGCCCGCTCTTACCCGGTGAGCCTGTGTGTGTATGGGGCAGTGGACCATCCGGCCAAGGACCTTATCTGCAGCGTTCAGTTTGATGCAGGCCAGGCATTTCCGCTTCCTCTGGGGAGGGGAGCACGGGGCCCGGGGGAGGAGAGAGGTCAGGGCAGGCATGCGGCCCCAGCAGGGCGGAAGCTGGGGGCTGCCTGCAATGGGGACCGGCTCCCCTGGCAGGCCCTAGAGCAGAGAGGCGAGGGGTCGTGTGGGCCAACTGGCTTCTGGCGCAGCCCACCCGGGGACTGGGACGCTTCAGACGTCAGCCCGTCCTGCAGTTCTCAAACTATAGAACGAGTGTGTGGGCAGGACTCCTTCCCCAGATGGGTTCTCCCCACCTGACTTTCACCTCGAGTCACTCTGCTGGTCTGTTATATTTATTTGCATGTCCTTAAAAGATATGGTATGAACACAAGGGTCCTGACATAAAAGTCTGGAAAATCACTGCTATGATCCAGTCCCTCCCTTAGCAGATGGAGGGAACAGGCCTTCAAAGAACCTATTGAGTCACAGGTTGGTGCTTGGAACAGCTGGGACTGGGGGCTCCCCCACAGCCGCGGTTATGCCCCCAAGGGGGCCGATTACAGTCAAGCCCTGTTATGAGTCAGCCCAGGCTGGGCCATCTGTACTCGAAGACTCACAGAAAGGGGGGAATTCACCAGGCCTGGGGCGGGAGCCAGCCAAACCCCATGCCGTGGGCTTCCTCCACCACTGACCTGAAGCCTGGGAGAGGGGTCCGGGTGGAAAGACGACTCTCTCTGAAGAACATATGTCCTCAGAGTAGCCCAGCGCTCCCCGCTGTTGCCTGTCCCAGCCCTGGCTGCCCACAGCATCACAAGCCCAGGCTCAGACTGAGCCAGGTCTGCTTCCAGAGAGGCTGCTCCACAGTGGGACCGGTGCCCCAACCTCGGGGCTTCTTGCTGGCTCTTTTCCTGAACCCCAACTACATACCCTCGCACTGAGCAAATACATGCCCCATCTCTTTCTCTCTCTCTCTCTCTTTCTCTCTCTCTCTCTCTCTCTCACACACACACACACACACACACACACACACACACACACACAGACACACACACACAGACAGGCCTTCACTCACCCCGTTGGGCTTGATTTTGCACTCCGCTTTTTTCCAGTCCTTCTTCCGGCAGCTCGTCTGCTGGAGCTTAAATTCCAGCCTCACAAAGGTCCCTGCAGGGAAGGGCTGCACACGGACAGCGAAAGGCCAGCAGCCAGCTGAGTGGGCAGAGCAATTCCTGGATGTGACCTGTCCCTCCTCCCCACCCCCCCCACCCATGAAACAGCACATCTGAAAAGGGGGCTGCGGTGTTGGCCTCTCCTTGGAGAACTGGGTGCTCTTCGAGCCCAAGCGCTATTGCACCTGCTTCCTGGGAATGTGCTTGTGGCCCTAACGCCCTTCCTTCCCCAGGCGACGCCGCTAACCGTTTCCGTGGCATTGTCCATACTGGTCTTCTTGAAGGCCCACTGAACGGGCGGGTGCTTGTGAAATTCTTCCAGGGCCACCTGCAGGCCCCGCTGCTGCGCCACCGTGAGCTCGGCTCTGCCCAAGCCCACCGCGCCCAGCCACAGGGCCAGAGACATCAGCAGCTGCCACATGGCGTCACCTCGGTCACCCGGGCCCTGCCGAGAGTGTTCAGGCCTCAGCTCTTCATGCCAGCCAGTGGAGCCACCAACTCCCTGGCCCTGCAGCTGGGGGGGCGGGTGCCTGACAGAGCTCTGGGCTGAGGTTGGAGGGACAGGAAGTGGCCCTGCAGTCGGAGATCCCCCTGGCATTCCCCTGGTCCTTGCATTCCTCCCTACCCTGCCCCCCACTGTTCCCTGGGCCCAGCTCAGCCCATGTTCGGCCTTGTCCCGGGTAGGTGCTGAGTTGGCTGTTGTCCTCAGGCCAACAGCCTGGGAAGCCCTCCTGTTGCCCACGCTCACCCTTCCCCCTCACCCTTTTCTGGCCCGTTCTTTCTCTCCCACTGCGTCTCTGATCCCCTTTCCTGCCCTCTGCCCTCAGAGCCCCCCTCGGCTTCCCCCACCTCAGCCTCTCCAGGTCTGCTTCTCCCCCGGCACTCGGAGCCTGCGGGCTCCCTCCGGGGCCTGGGAACCGCCTTCGTCCCCCAAGGCTAACTCAAGGGGGAGGGGGAGGGGCAGGATAGAGAATGGAGGCCAGCTGGAGGCCGAATATTTTAGGGAGGACGTAAACACATGGGAGGGGCCCAGAGCGGGGTGGGCACTGGGAGGATGCTTAACCCTCCCTGTGCTGGGGCTGCTCCTGATCCCTGGCCCTACCCCTGACCCCAGACACGGGGTCTCACCTCAGCCCCACACGGCCTTCTTCTTAGGCAGCTCCTCCCTCCCTTAACTTCTTTTCTGGGCCTTCCCCACCACCCCTCTCCCAGCCCTTCTGATCCTGTCCCCTAACCCGTGACTGGGGTTGCCCGAGGCACGCACTCACCCCAAGAGCTCTGTGTGTACTGGTGGTCTTAGGACCAGAAAGCTACAGATGTGCAAACCGAGGCCTCTCCTCAGGGAGAGACACTGGAGTGTTGCCTTACAACAAGGGTTTACGGAGGGATTGACAGATCTCACCCTTGGAGCTGCTCCTTTTGGCTCGTCTTCTTCCACCCAGCTGCCTCCCTGGCCCACTCTCCCCTCCTCACCTCCTCTCCTGTGCCTTGGGGTCTCTGCTTCCCGTGGCTGACTCTAGGCCAGGCTGTCAGCCTCTTCCCCCCCCCCCCCCTCCGGACGGCCCCCATCTCCTCCCACTCACACCCCCTGGGCCCCTCCAGCTCCCAGCCTGCCCAAGGCTCCTCCCCATCCCATTAGGACGGGCCTCCTGGCAGCCAGCCCTCTGAGACCTCCCTCCCATCCACCCACAGGCCTCCCAGCGAGGACCTTGCTGCCAGACCTTGACCCCAACCCTGGCCAACCCTGGCCGAGCCGCCCTCCCCTCCCGGTCCGCTGGCCAAGGAGCCCAAGCATCTGTCTGGTCTTGGCGCAGCCTCCCCTCCATGGGGTATGGGGCCGCCCTGCCTGCCCCCCCGCCCCGCCCGGTCCTGCCTCATGTAGGGCTGTCCTTTTCTTTGGCCCCTCCTGGGTGACCAGTCCCCAGCAGCCTCAGACACACATTTCAGGAAAGTCTTCCCGGAAATATAGACATCTTCAAACCCAATGAGACCTTGGGGAGTCATTTGACCCCTTCCCCTGCCTCCCAAGCCCTAAAGCCACACCGAGAAGGAAGGCATCTCTGTCAGAGACGAGTCTGGGGTCCACCAGCCTCTATAACCAGCATGCCTGTTCGGTCTTGATCCTGCGGGTCCCGTCCTTGGTGGCGAGAAGTTCAGGGGTCTCACGTGGGCTCTTGGGAGCCTGCAGGCACGGCAGAAGGGTGTGATGGAATTCACAAGGCTAGTGTGGGAGGGGGGAAAAACTGTCCAAATATTGCTCAACTCCCATGCATCCTGAGCAAATATGAACAAGCTCAGGGACTCGGTGGGCCAGGAACCAGCCCCGCCATTTCTCTGGCTCCAGGCCCTAAGCTAATTGCCCCAAACAGGGTCTCATTTACCTTCCCAAATCCCTAGTGACTGATGGCCCAGTGTTTGGCACAGATTTTCTCCCCGTCCCTATTCACCCCTGCCATGGATCTCCACATGGAGCTGACAGCTTCCTTTGCAATGTGCTCTGGGGGCCCCAGAAAGACCCTTGGCTGTAGTTAGCTCAGGTAGCTATGATGTTCCTTCCCTGCCGTCTTGTGGAACGCGTCCTGTGTCTCGTCCGTGGTTGTCTGCTCTCCCATTTTGCTTCTCCTTGTGAATTTATACCTTCTTATTCATTTACCATTGTTCTGATGGAGTTTTGGGAGGGAGTAGGGATAAACACATGTGTGTGATCCGCCATGTTTAGTCAGAGTCTATGAGTTACTAAAGAAGAAAAATCACTATCTCACTACTATATATATATATATATATATATAGTGTGTGCCCCTAAAATTCATACGTTGAGGTCATAACCCCAAGTACCTCCAGAATGTGTATTTGGAGGTTTGAACTTTAAAGAGGTAATTAAGGGAAAATGAAGTCATATGGTGGGGGAGGGAGGCAGGACCGATCCAATATGACTAGTGTCCTTTTAAGAAGAGATTAGGACACAGAGGGAGGACCATGTGAAGACACAGAGAAAAGACAGCCACCTACAAGCCAAGGAGAGAATCTTCAGAAGAACCAGCCCTGCAGACGCCTTGATCGTGGGCTTTTGGTCTCAGGAATTGGGAGAATGAGTTTTTATTGTCTAAACTACCCAGTGTGTGGACAGTCCTAGCAAACCTACACACACACACACACACAGAGGAAATCCTTTCCTAAGACTAATCAGGTGCTTTGTGATCAAAAGAACGAAGCTAGAATGGCTAATACTAAGCTGAAAAAAATCCAAACATACGTATCCTGTATTTTATCTGGAAAAAAAATATATAAGAAATCAGGATGTTTTAACGTGGCAGGAAATGAAACTTGGATTTTAATCAGTGGAGGTATCTTAACATACCATTAACTTTTTTTTTTTAGATTTTTTTTGTTTATTTAACAGAGATAGAGAGAGAGCTTAAGTAGGCAGAGTGGCAGACAGAGGGAGAGGGAGAAGCAGGCTCTCCGCCGAGCAGGGAGCCCAATGCGGGGCTCGATCCCAGGACCCTGGGATCATGACCCGAGCCGAAGGCAGTCGTTTAACCAACTGAGCCACCCAGGCGCCCCATACCATTAACGTTTGGAAATTTATAATAACTCTTTCAAGAAAATTCAGCAGACTTATAAAAGGAATTTGCATCTTTATGAAGTACACTTAAAGAGTCAGCTTCACGGGTGCAAAAATGTTTTCCTAACTCCAAGTGGTGGGAAGGCAGATAGATAACCAGGCTGAAGGTTCATGAAATCTCATGGAGTCCATTCAGCCTCCCTCCGGGATCCACCACTAGATGGAGTTGGTGAGCACAAGCGAGGTCCTTCACGCTGCCCGTTCTCAGCCCGTTTTTTCAAGTAACAGGCTGTGGAATTATTATTGTGGGAGAAAGAGAGAGAGAGAGAGAGAGAGCAAGCAGGGAGGGACAAAAGGAGGGGGAGAGAGAGAATCCCAAGCAGGCTCCACACCCAGCACAGAGCCCGGTGCAGGACTCAGTCTCACACCCCTGAGTTCATGACCTGAGCTGAAATCAGAGTCGGGGGCTTTAACTGACTAAGCCACCCAGACACCTCAGGAATTATTTTTCTTACATACTTGTGGTAGCCTGTGGTCGCTTTTTGGTTCCTGGTTTAACCGTAAGAACTTGTTTTAACTCCATCTGACCCATAAATCATGCTAACTTGTTGCAATGATTTTATCTACCATACCCACATTTATTAGAACTGCACACCAGGGCAGGCACGGATAGTTAAGCAATCTCCGCTAGTGGAAGGCACTTAGAGCAGTGTAGACGCTCTGAAATTAAATACTTTCCAAATGTTCTTTTCAGAATTAATTTTATTTTGTATGTTATTTGTCAGATGTAGTAATTTAATAGAATGTTACCGTGTAGTAGTCAAACATGCTCTATTGTTGTCATGTCTAATAACGTCCCCCAAATAAGCCTTCTTAAATCATGTTAAGAGGAAACTCTCTTCTCGTGTTTTTAAGACAGCTGAGGCAAACCACTTCTGAGAACATCTGACCCAGATTTGGTCTTGGAGCCCATGAGGAGGCTCTGAGTTGAAACCAAGTTTCTATTCTGACGCACCGCCTGAGGTTATCTGAGAAGGGTCTGGGTAGGAATGAGCTATGGCTGGAGGTAGTGCGTCTGTTGTCTGGCGCACACGTGTCTGTGCACAACAGCTCGTGCCACCAGCAGGAACAGAACACGAGCAAACACACCCGCTTCTGCGAAACTGTGAAGACGTCACGGAGATTCTGTTGAGAATTTCCTTGGCGTTTCCAAATCAAGCTTGGCTTTTAGTAGATTTTAAACCAAGAATGGATACACACAAGGCTTCTAAATCCATCTTTTGAATTCAGTTGAAGAAGACACAACCTGAAGCCAGTCTGGAGTAGAAAAAGACATAGCATCATAATAATAGATGAGATTGCGGGGCGCCTGGGTGGCTCAGTTGTTAGGCGTCTGCCTTCGGCTCAGGTCATGATCCCAGGGTCCCGGGATCGAGCCCCGCATCGGGCTCCCTGCTCCGCGGGAAGCCTGCTTCTCCCTCTCCCACTCCCCCTGCTTGTGTTCCTCCTCTCGCTGTGTCTCTCTCCGTCGAAAAAATAAATAAAATCTTTAAAAAAAATAACAGATGAGATTGGACCTCGAAAAGGTAAAAATGGAGATCTCTAGGTAAAGTCAATTACCTTCTGTCTTGGCTGAGACACCGCAATGGTTCCTTGCCGGGCTTCCTGGCGGTGTATGGTCCCGAGAGCAAACCACCAAGCAGTGGTAAACCTGGTCTCCGGAGCGTCGGGCGCCCTCCTCCCCCGAGCAACGGTCCCCCTCAGAGCCAGAGGTTCCTCAAAGGTTCTTGCATTCCTGTCATTCTAGAATAATGTTCCAGATAAAAGGATATGTCGAAGGCACTGCTCCCTACAATCAGAGTCCTTCAAGGGATAGAGTTACAGACTCAAGTTTTCTTCTAAATGTCGTCTTCTTTGCCTCGCTCACATACGGACTGGAATGTTCCTATGAGGAAAAGTATTTTTCTCTCACCTGAAGTTCTGTCAGACTCCCATCATCTGCTTAACAAGCAGGGAAGAGGGTTTGAAGTTTGCAGGTTAATGATGGTCCAGACCTGTGTGGTCTAATCCAGTTCGCTCCCCGTGGGCTCGAGCTCTCCCATTTCCTTATTCATTTGGCCCCCAGGTGCTTAGCCGTGGACCTGAGGCCCTTCTAGAGGCTGGCTGTAGGAGAAAAGGCCAGATCCCTGCTTTCCGGCGACATGAGCTTCGCACAACAGTAAAGCCGAGTAGGGGAGCTGGGAAGGGATGGCGTCGGAGTGGGTGGTGGGCTGATGAGGACCCTAATCCCTGCTCAGGTCCGAATGGTTGGAGTCGTGAATGTTACCTTACGTGGCAGAGGGGACTGCAGATGTGAGTTGGCTAAGAACTTTGAGATGGGGAGATCATGTTGGGGAACTATAATTAAAAACAAAATCTCCTACCAACTCAGAAAACCTCTCTGCAGAGGCAGAAGAGGAAGGAAAGTTTTATTATCCAAAAAGCACGAAAGCAGAAAGAGATGCACATCACAGGCAATCCGCTAAGAGATTAGGAAACTGAAGGAGATCCCCCCCCCCTTACACAGCCCAGCTGACGCAGCCGCGCACGGTCTCCAGATAAAAGTGTAACTCCTCCTCAGCAAGAGGACTTCCCCAATGGCGCCGTTTGTCACCCAGAGTTCATCCTAAATTCAGCTGGCCATTGGGGTGGCCACCTGTTTGCTAACTGCCTTTCTCCCAAGGAACAGGGCGCGTCTCCTATCTTTATGACAGGGGATAGTTCTGCAGCCTGGAGCCGGGCACCCCCGGAAGTCAGGCCTCCACCCACCCTCCTGTGGGTCACCATCTCCCTTGGTGTTTACATTTCAAGGAGGTGGCTCCCAGGGCTTGGAGGGAGGTGCGGGGGGCGGTTGTAAAGCTCACAAGAGGCTTGTGTAACTTTTGGGAAGATTTACATGCCTCTCAAAGGGGCAGAG